TGTGTGTGTGTGTGTGTGTGTGTGTGTGTGTGTGTGTGCTGGTCCTAGGGCTTAAACTCAGGGTCTGGGCACTGTCCCTGACCTTCTTTTGCTCAAAGCTAGTGCTCTACCATTTTGAGTCACAGAACCACTTCTAATTTTCTGGTGGTTCATTGGAGTTAATGAGGGTTTTATGGTCTTTCCTGCCAAGGGAAGCTTTGAACTGTGAACCTCAGATCTCAGCCTCCAGAGTAGCTAGAATTACAGGAGTGAGCCACCGGACCTGGGCCTGCTTATTTGAGTAAACAGTAGTAGCAATACCACTCTGTAGTTCACCATACACCTCCAAAGAGATACGACAGGCTAGAAATTAATTTATTTCATAATGTATCTAAGTGCCCTGAGAAGAATGAAATACATGATTATTGGCTAGGTGCTGTCCCAGAAGATTTGTATAAAAGGATTACCAAATAAGAAATGGAGCAAAGCCATGTTCATTGCACAAATGGGTGGGAACAACAAGGAAGATTGATTAAGAAGTTTTGCTATCAAATTCTCAAATACCAAAAACACATAACTTGGGAAAACAACATCCCAATTTCTTCAAATATGCAGTTAGTTGTAGAGCAAACCCTTGTGTGAATTAATTTTGACCACCTACTAACATACAGGGAAAGTAGTTCATGGGGACTAACCCTTTCTGTGCCCATGGTTGCTGTGAGCTGGTGTCTAGGGGAGGAGGGAGATCCTGCCTGCCTCAGGATCTTGAATTTGAGGTTCCACCACACAATGTCAAGAAGAAGGAGGGCAAGACTATGGATCTTCTTCTGGAGATGCTACTGATGTCCATCAAGTGAAGGAAAAACATTGGACCACCACAACTCTACATTAGGCCTCCCAACAGTAGCTCTGTGCTGAGACTGCTTCAACAAGGAGCAGAGGTGGGGGGGTTGGGGGATGGGGGGGTTGCATTAGTGCCAGAGGCCCCTCTGCCACCCTTTCTTAAACTAAGACTGGGAGGTCAGAGTTTCCATTTCATTTTCACAGTTAAGAGCATTATATGCCACAGTCCCCACACCAATGACAGGCAGAACGGGAATGAAAAGCAAGACAGAATAACTTCAAGTGCTTCTCTGCATAACACTGTACTGTGAGGACCTGGGTGTTAAAAGAAACAAGACTGAGTTCAAGCTCTCCTCTTCCCTAGCTCATTCCAGGCTCAGAATATCACTGATCACACAGAATGACCTAGTGCATGTCAAACTGTTTGGGAACATTTAAAATGTCCTATGGATAAAGAAATTATGATTTTTATTTTTATATCATTCATTCCAAAATGATCTCTAATGAGAATTATCTCCTAAAAGGAGTCAGCACTTTCTTATGAGCTCTTATCACAGGAAAACCATACTACTTGATTCAGTAGAAGTATTTAACCTTCACCAAAACATATGGTCTCAAGTAGCAGAAAGGGATTTAGTAGGGAATAACTGACCAATCAGTCAGCAGTGCCATATGCTTGCCTGGGGCTGGGGTTATTGTTATGTGTATTCCCACCCATGCCTCAAGTACAGAAAAGGTGGCAAGGTTAATGGTATTGATTGTAAATGGCTAGGAGTTTTACATGCTGGATGTTTAGTAAGAGTTTCATTTTTATCTCCTTCTTGGCTAATTCAGGCCAATAGCAGTAAGTCTGACTTGCTTCCTAAAATGAAGCTAAACCAGTGGTTCTTAACTTGGGCCTTTTTCCCCTTCAGGGGACACTGCCAATTGGAGAAGACCTTTTGGTTGTCACAACAGGATGGGAACACAACTGCCATCTAGCCAGGAGAGGCTGCTATTGACAGCTTAGCCTCCTTCCCACAGCTTCATGACCATGAACTCCATAACCAGTATGCCAACATTTCATAGTCCAGGAATCCTGGACAAGACATAAATCCCTCAAAACTTGCTCAGACAGGAACAAAATAGTTAATTCTATCTACTGATTCAGTAGTTATATTCATACTAGAGAGTCCCTGAAGATACAATTCTACAGCCTGTCTGTTAAAAGAGAGCTATGCAAGTGTCCTGGCCCAGGGAGAAGAGGATGCAGCTTTCCTGATCTCATCAGAAGAGAACTCACACCAGGCACTGGTGGCTCAAGCCAGTAATCCTAGGTACTCAAGGTACTCAGGAGGCTGAGATCTGAGGATTGTGGTTCAAATCCAGCACAGGCTGGAAAGTCCACAAGACTCTTTCTCCCATTAACCAACTTTAAATTGGAAGTGGAGCTGTTGCTCAGAGAGGTAGAGCACTAGACTTGAGCAGAAAAGCTTAGGGACAGTACCTAGGCCTTGAGTTCAAGCCCCCCCAACTGTCCCCACCCAACCCTACCAAAGAAAGAAAAAAGAGATCCCCTAGGTCCTGGGTCCTCCACAGAGCCAGGGAGGGACATAGAAACTTTGGCCTGCATCATGACAGTTCGGTAGGCCCAGACACTGGGTGGCTTTAGATGAAAGCAGACTTGGTAACTTAGGCCAATTCTCCCTTGAAATCAATAAAATCAATATGGATAAAGCAACAAATGATAAGGAAGAATTACCTTGAAACATTCTAAATATGAACAGTACTAACAAGTTGTATCATATCTACCTTGATAAATGGAAAAATTATTTTGGTGTCAAAATAATAGATAGCTGGGGGCAGGTGGCTCACACCTGTAATCTTAGCTACTCAGGAGGCGGAGATCTGAGGATCACGGTTCAAAGCCCTAGGAAGGAAAGTCGATGAGACTCTTATCTCCAATTAACCACCAGAAAGCCGGAAGTGGCACTGTGGCTCAAGTGGTAGAGCACTAGCCTTGAGCTGAAGAGCTGAAGGACAGTGCCCAGGCCCAGTGTTCAAGCCCCATGACAAACAACAACAACAACAACAACAACAAAAGAACAGATAAAACTCCCACAGGGTACAACCAATGAACAGCCTCAGAAAACAAGGACAGTGATATACCTGTTTTCTTGGCCAGCACTACAGAAGCCTCCCAATCCCTACTGGCATGGCAGCCTCTGTTCTGGTTTTATCTCCTCAGCCTTCTCCCTGCACATACCCAGAAACTGGGCAGATTAAGTGTTCTTCACTTGAGGTGTGCAATCTGTTGACTTCTTTCGTGAATTGTTTGATGTATGCTTTAAAAATTATGTATTTGCTGGGCACCAGTGGCTCATGCCTATAATCCTAGCTACTAGGGAGGCTGTGATCTGAGGACATGGTTCACAGCCAGCCTAGGCAGGAGCCCATGAAACTCTTATTTCCAATTAACCAGCAAAAAGATAGAAGAAGGGCTGTGGCTCAAGGCAAAAAAGCTGGAGGACAGTGTCTACACTCTGAGTTCAAGCACAGGACAAACACACACACACACACACACACACACACAC